TATATAATATATACATATATATATATATATATATAAATATATATATATATATATAATAATATATATACATATATTGAGGGAAGAGCATACTTTATAGTTATATAATTTGATATCCAAAGGTATTACTCCAAATTCATGTTCCTTTTTTGATGTTACAGGAAGGGTTGCAACAGAGTTCACCTTCCGAACAGTGAGCTCACTTTCAAAGCCTTGATGTGGATTGTGGAAAATTTACAAGGTATTGTGATGGAGAAACTAGTGGTAGAAACGATCAACCTCAGTGATAAAGAAGAAAAAAAGTTAAATGATAAAGCAACTTTTAATTTAGAGTTTCTTTAGAGAAGCAATCTATTTGTAGATTTCCTTTTTGTACACTGTTACATATGATTCTTATGTACATCAAGGCCTGGCGTTGTGCAAATATTAAGTAACTTTCTGCATGAACTAAATAAGGGTAGGTTGAATGAGTACTATATGTTAAAGGGTAATATTTTTTGAATACACAGATGCATCTGTAATAGATTTACAATAGACTTAATATTTGCGACTATTTATGTATATATGACAAGGTTTACATGTTGCTAATATTGGCCTTTTGAGATACAGGAAAGCCTCACATTTGGTGGGATTGCATTTGACAACCTTTACAAACTCCTACCATGCATCATATTTGACAACCATGTCATTGCCAGAATCTCTCTCTCCTCTCCCATAAACTTAATTATTTGCATTTGGTAACCTTTTTTCAATATAAATCACTTGCCAACTGTGAAGCTTTTCTGTATTTTAAGTACATGTACCATATTCTCTTATAGTGATAGGCTGTGTGATATGCATATATATGTGTAAATTTAATTTGTTTTATATACCTGGAGAAAAAAAATATATAATTATTGGATGCATTTGAATTGTTCCAAAAACACTCCCTGTGTTTATACACACACACACACACACACACACACACACACACACACACACACACACACCACACATATCATAATATATATAATATAGAGTATATATATATATATAATATATATATATTATTAAAAAAGCAAGGGTGAAATAATTTCATCTTTTTTGGAATTTTCATTATTTGCAATTGATTAAACTCAAATCTAGAACATTTTTGCTTAGCTCATCTTAGACAGCTTTTGCTTTCACTAGCATTTTTTCAATATCATATATATATATATATATATATATATATATATATATATATATATTATATATATATATATATATATATTTGATTCATACCGAATTGTAATGCTGTTCCAGAGAGTATCTCTCTTGGTTCTGTGCATGCACAGAGTTGGCTACTACTACAGTCCCTTATTTGTGGTAGTAAGCAAACTGTTGCTGATGTTAATGCTAGTTACACCTGCTCATGAGGTGAATTATTTTCTTTTGTCAGCATTCTACTTAAATAAATCTATTTACTTTGAATAAAGAAATATTTTATATAAAAACATCCTATTAGAATATGTTATATTACAGTCTTTGTTGATATGTTTGGAAATTAGCTGGTTAAGATGACATTAGTCAGACTTCACAGTGAAACTAAAACCAGGTATTGTTACAGCATCAGCTGTTGGGTCCCCCTTATTGTATTTCATTTTTATTTATGTGCATGGTGAATGTTCTGCATTGTTGTTCATTAATATAAGTTATGTTGTTACACATACTTGGACTTATCCTTATGATTGGTGATGACTGATTAATTCTGATCTCAGATTCTAATAAAAAAAGAACCATATTCATATTATAGTTATGCTATTAACATTTATGAAGAAAAACCTTTTCTGAATGAAAGATATAGCACAATCAAAATCAGATACATTTGCTTTTAATAGAAAATTTAGTAACATGGTATATTTTGAAAGTAATACTGCATTAGTCCTTTAATTACATATAAAAAAAGAAGTTCATTTCTCCAAAGATACAGAAAGTGTCATCAGGAAAGTGTGACAATCTATATAAAATAAGAAAAAATATTTTTTGGTCATTTTTAGATTTTATCAAGAGTAAAAAGAATCACTTTAAAGCTAAAGGGATATATGAATGACAAAATAACACTTAGCATGAAAAGATTCTATTAAGTCATTTAATCTAAATACTATTTTTTTTACAATTTAATGGTCTCTTGTCCATATCTTTGAGGAGAAAATAAATTGGAAACAGTTTAGTCATAGCATTGATAACAAGCATAGTTTTTATGGTTCATTATGTCAGTTGCTTCCAAATAACTTGCTAGACTTAATACCTTACTTCAATACAAACTGAACTACCTCATAAGAGAGCTGACCTGTTGATTTTAAATCATCTCAAGGTTGTCATGTAATTCTGCATTAGTATCATTAACTGTAAGGAAAGTATTATGGCAAATTGGGAAATATCATCTTAACAGCATGTAATATATGTTTAGTTCATATATGTACAATCAGAAAAAAGAGAAAACATGCAAATTACAATAATAATAATAAAAATACTGGGTGCCTCATGCTCTTAGTAATGTAATGCTATCATGTGGTTAGCCACAGACAGCACTAAGCATTTGTTTGCTTGCCTTCTCACTTTGAGCAACCAACACTGGTTTGCCTCAGCAAAAAAGGGAGCAACTGTGCTTACGCCTCTCATGTCATTACATAGCCTATCCTTCACCAAGACTTCTGTAGTGTCTCTTCAAAGCCACCTGGGCAACTTAGTACCTTGCTCCTAGGCTAAACTGTGGATCTTAGAAAGGACGTAGAGATATTAAGCCACTGTCCTCTAACATAAGGGCACTCCCTACTTAAGCTCACCCAGCCCCCTAGAAATAATGGCAGGTTTGTCATTCCACCTGCCCCAGATACTCCATTTCCTATAAATCACCCATATGTGTTTAGTGAGAAAGGATTATTTACCTTACCTGCATCTTAGTGGCTGTCAACTCAGTGTACAAAACCCAACAGGTATATAGTCACCCCACCTTTTTTTGCTGAAATACCAGGGAAAGGTGGCATCTACCCTCAGTGATTGGCTGAGGTCTACCCTCAGACAGCCCAGTTGGGTAGGAGCTCTGCACATCGACAGGATGATTGATTGCCACTGCTATAAGGGAGCTGAACCAACTAAGAGTTGATACAGTGTTTGGCTGTATGTCGCTTATTATGTTCCTATCAACATATGGAAACTTGATGTGAAAAAGGAATTCTACACCAAATTGTCTTCCAAGGTGGACAGCAGTCCTCAATGGGACATTGCTAGAACTTTATTTTGTGGGGAACAATAGAGGTTATGAATGTATGTAGCTCATCTGGACTGGCTGATGATTTGGACCTGTATCAATTTCTGTTGTTCAGAACTTCAACACTCTTGAGGGGAGGGGCAAGGAGCAGCATAACAGGAAACTTGGTAAGGGGGTTCAAGGCCAATTGTTTGTAAATAAACTTTGCCTGAACTTAAAGCTCTCCTATCATATGACTGCAATCAGCTCTGTAGATAGTTGGGTTATATCAGATCAAGTTAGGGTGTAAGCATATTGGGGTGAGTACTTTAAGCTGCTGTACCTGGTTAAATGGGCATAAGTGGTGCCAAGTTCCTGGTACCCAATCTGCCCATCCGTAAAAAACCTAGCCTGATGAAAGTCTGGGAGGTGATCTCTGAACTGAATGACGGTAAACCATTAGGCATTTGCAGTATTCTTGGTGAACTGTTACAGGCTGATTAACCCACAACTCATGGGTTGCATGTTGCTTTGGCTGCCATCTGGCAGTCTTGTACCATTCCCATGTATCTACTGAAGCAGCGGTCACACTAGGGATAGGGATCCCTGAACCTACCCTGACACCCTATACTTCAATAAAATTCTAAATTCTAATGATAAACTCCAAAAATATGTCCTTATTGGTATATTCAAAGATGTACATGAGATGTAATTATGGACTGAAAAAAATTATGGTTGGAAAGCAAATACTGTAACTGAAAATGAATAAATCATTATCCATTATGGTAATTTACAAATTTTTGCTATCGTAATCTTTGTGCTTAGTATTCCTTAATGATTCTCTGGTTCTCACTCTGTTCACAAAGTTGTAAATAAGTAAATAAGAGAGCTCTGTGTCTTCAGCATGTTGATGTGAGTCACTGAGCATACAATGGAGGTCAGTGGTGTGGGTGTGATTGTAATAATTTATCAAATAAATAGTAGCCTGGACAATCTTGTATATTTAATAAGGCACTAGTATAGTAATATATATTATTTCTAAAGTAATTTTTCCTGGTATATAATAATTTTGGCATCTAGATGTAGGCTTAATAAGCTTCCTAGCAATTATATTACAGTTCTTGTTTTAGCATTATCTTTTCCCCTGTAGTCGGGACAAAACATTAACACAGCGACTCTTATCAGTCTCTGGGAACCCTAATGGCTGATGCACTTAGTCTAAATGTCTCTTAGAACAAACCCATGATTTAGGACTCTGGGATCCAGTTGGAGGACTCTCTTAATCAGTAGGTACTTGCTGCAAAATCACAAAATATTACATATATTGGAAGTGTAGTGCCAAGCTCTAACCTAAATCAAATATGTCAGGAGACATTTGTTTGACAGCAGGTGAAGAAGGACCAAGCCATGTGTCTTCAGAGGCTCATATACTGCCAGTGTATCTGTATTTGTGAAACTTGGACTCTACCTGGTATCTTAACCTGAAGCTTGTGGTACGACTTGTTACTTGCACAATCAGGGAGTGCCAGTTCAGGTTATATGTATTCCTAAGGATGATCTCGTCCACTCACTTGTCTCCTTTAGTGCAGTGGCTCTCATTCTTTCCCGTTAGGCAACACACAAAAAATCTATCTTTGACAACTCCATTGATAATAAACAAAGGTGTATTATAATGTATACATTTATAATATTGTCTTATAAGTATACTGATTGTTGTCAGTCAAAATTTCACGAAACTTTGAGTTGGTTTACCATTGTACATTTTCTAAAGTTTCTGTCTAGAAGGCAGTAACACCAAACATAAATACACATATTATCCAATACATTTCAAAGATCACCATGACAACTATATGTTGCGACTCACTAGAAAAACCTTGTAGAAGACCCATGGGACGACCTAATAAGTTGATGCTTGGGCAGACCAAAAAGATCTACCGTAAAAGGTCGAGATGCTACTCGGTAAGTGACTTTCAAGTCTGGAAGCTCCCCTTTGACGTTAACCTCATGTTTTACTGACTGCGTGAGGATATTGGAGAAGTCATGAGAATTGGATGGTTCCTGAAACATGACAAATGTCAAAAAACACCTTAGACAAAGAGAAGAATCCAAGTTAATTAATACATGCAAACATATATGTCTGTGCGTGAATGCATATGCATTTATGTGCATGGCTATACACAAATAGAAAAACATGCATACATTTGTATCAACTTCATTTAAAAACACATACACAAAAAACTCACACAGATACATGTGATGACTGTAAATCTAAATTCCGTTTATAAACCGAGTTGTATCCCTAACACAAGCAATCCCAGCCCAGTATTCTTGCGCAGCACTCTCCGGAGGTCAACCCAAGCTTTGTAACGTGTGACCTCGCCCTCCCCCATCCCCCCACTCCTTTGCTTGTTGTTGTCATGGAGCAGGGGGGGGGGGGGGCTTGGAAGATGGAAATTGAGGCCTAATGTAGGAGATTACCCCTACCTTAGGCCTCAGCCCTCGCCTTAACTGATTTCGCATGGTCTTTTCTTCTCCCCCTTTTCATTTTCCTTCTCTCCTTCATCCCCTTCTGTCCATTTCCTAACATGTGAAATCCGTGCTGAAAGGATGAAAGGCTGGCTTTGTATCAGTCATAAACGGCCTCCAGGAGCCATGGGCATGGTATTCCCTTGGTTAATTGCCTAG